AAAAACTGCTAGGTTTCCAACAAATGCCTTCCAGATTTCATAAAGATCCAGAACTGTTTGCCCTGCACCCTGGAGACAGAGGTTGAGTTCATTTAGGTGAGCGGTGATGTCAGTTAGGAACATGAACTTATGTAGCCATTTGTCATCATCCAGTTCAGGGTAGCTTTGTCCTTTTTCCAACAAAAAGGCCTTGATTGTATCAAAACAGTTTGCAAAGTGCATCAAAACCATGCCACAACTTAGCCACCGGATGTTGCTGTGAAGTGGAATGTCATTATAAGCACTGTTCGTCTCTTCTAGCAGTGCTTGAAACTTTCTGTGAGTCAAAGTAGATTGAGCAATGAGTAAATTCACAATTCACACCACTGTATTCATCACATTACTAAACTCTGAATTAGAAATTTTAGAGCACAGGTTTTCTTGATGGATGATACAGTGAAATTTGACTTAGGTGGCTGATGTGATCTTCAAGTAACTTTACACATCCCTTCCGTTTTCGACCATACCAGAAGTACCATATATTGTGTCACAAAATATTTTTCTGATGTTGACTCCTCATTCTTCAAAATGTTTTACCTAAGTTTCCGTGATTATCTTCCCCTTTTGTTGTGCCATGCAGGGGTGTTAGGCAACAAAGTTCATCTCAGATTTCATCAGAAGCACAATATCTTCCAACAACTGCCAAACGTGGAACGTCATTTACATCCATGCTTTTATCAAGTGCAATGCTAAACACCACTGTGTCTTTTAATGCATTCTGCGTTTGGCTAAAGTTTTTTGCCGTTTCGTTCACGTGTCTCTCAACTGTTCTCACAGAGACAGGCAGTTCTTTTATTCTAGATAATATCACATCTTTATTTCGTAAATCATTGAACAAAACCTCCAAACTGCTGAGAAAAGCTTCTTTTATATATTCCCCATCTGTAAACGGCTTTCTGTTTTTTGCAATGCACTGTGCAATTTTGTAACTTCCTTCTGTGCCTTGATTTTTACTTCCACTTAAGTGTTTAAAAACACTGCTTTGCTTCTCGTATCCTGCTACTGCCTTTTTGATCGATTCAATTTTGTTCGCTTCGTCAAGAAAGGTTTTCTCATGCTTTGTTTGAAAATGTCGTCGAACACTTGATGAGCGACAACCAACACTTTCAACAGAAGGCACAAGCAGTGCGGTCCTTTTGAATAAATCCAAAGTCATCTATCAAAAAAGGCTGAAATGAATGGACATCTAACTTTGCTTTCTTAGGAGGTGACATTTTGTCAAATGTACCCTTCAACTTACAGTGAAAAAAAATCATGACAGACAGGTGGTGCAGGGGTGGGGAGGCAGCTTAGATATTAAGGAGAGCTGTCTCTTGACATTTGAAAACCAGTTATCTTTTGTATAAAAGCAGAAGTTGAGGTGAAGTTGTCTGTATAGTGGACAAATGGGTAGCAAGATTGCAGTAGCATCCCCTTTACTTTTCACCTGGGGGGTGGGATGGGGAGGCAGCTGGGGCCAGCACTGCACCTGCTGGGGCCGGGGCCAGTGCTGTGCCTGTGAGGGATGGGATGGGAAGGCAGCTGGGGCCGGCGCTGCACCTGTTGAGACTGGGGCAGGGAGGTGGCCAGGGCTGGCTCAGCGCCCGCTGGGGCTGGGGCTGGGGTTGGGGCTGTGGCAGGGAGGTAGCTGGGGCTGGCGTTGTGCCCACTGGGGTCGGGGATGGAGCAGGGAGGTGGTTGGGGCTGACGCTATGCCTGCTGGGGCCAGGGTGGGGAGGCAGCACTTTCCCGCCTAGGCAGAGGGGGCGGTGCACGTGCCAATTAAAATCATATTGCGTACCACCTTTGGCATGCATGCCATAGGTTGCTGACCCCTGATCTAAACTCTGCATAAGACTACCATCAGCCCTGGCACAACAGAGACCTAACACCCTAATCTGCCACAGGTAAAGCAGGGGAGCCCTGGCAGCCAGTGTCCTGCTTCTATAAAATGTTGTCAATATACACTCAAGAGGTCCCAGACACAGGGCCATGCCCCGCACTACAAAGGAAGGCAAAAACCCTCACATACCAATTGATCATGGAGTAAAATTCCTTCCTGACCCCAAATATGGTGATTGGTCTGACCCTGAGCAGAGGAGCAAGACCCTCTAGCCAGGAGCCTCCAGCTTTGTTCCTAGCAAGAGAATCAGCACATCCCAGTTGAAGTCTCTAACCTTTGCTGTAGCCAACACCCAATGCCTCTGGGGAGGCTTAAAAACACCCTTATACATATAGTAGAAAAAAGGTGAAGAAGGTGGGAGCAAAGCCCAGAAGCCTGGGAAATATCCAAGGTAGAACATAGGCATAGCTACGCCTGGATCATACCCAACCAGTGGCTGTTCAGCCTCTTCTTGAACACCTTCAGTTTTGGAGAGTCCACAACTTCCCCAGGCAGTCTATTCCACTGCCTCCCTATTCTCATAGTAAAGAAGTTTTTTTCCAGTATCCAGTCTAAATTTATTTTGCTGCAACTTCAAGCCATTGATCTTCATCCCCCTCTCTGCAGCAAGAGAGAAAAAGTGCTTTCCCTCTTCTTTATACTTGCCCATCAAATATTTGAAGACTGCTATCATGTCCCCTCTTAAGCACTATTTCTGCAAACTGAACATGCCTTGCTCCTTCAGCCTTTTCTCCTATGACTTGCCTTCCAAGCTCTTGATCATCTTTGTTGCCCTCCTCTGGATCCTCTCTAACTTTTCATTGTTCTTTTTAAAATGTGGAGCCCAGAACTGCACACAGTATTCCAGATGAGGCCTAACCAGTGCCAAGTAGAGAGGCACTATCACCTCCCATGTCTTGCACCTTCAGGAGCTGAATTAATGCTTCTGTCGATGCAGCCCAAAACTGCATTGGCCTTTTGTGTAGCTGCATCACACTGGAGACTTATAGTGAGTCTGTGTTCTACCAAGACTCCCAAGTGCTTTTCCACAGAGTTGACATCCATTTGTGTTTTCTGTTTGTGATTATTCCTCCCTACATGTAGCACCTTGCATTTGTCCATATTGAACCTCATCGTGTTAGTTTTAGCTCAACTTACCAGATCCTTCTGAACTGTATTTGCATCTTCCAGCATGTTCACAATCCTTCCCAGTTTTTTCATCTGCAAACTTGCTCAGGAAGCTTCCTATGCCAGCATCCACATCATTAATAAACAGGTTGAACAGCTCTGGGCTCAGGACAGACCCCTGTGGGACTTCACTCAAAACCTCCTGCCATTCTGACATGGACCTGTTAATAATTACCTTTTGCTTACAGCTATTGAGCCACTTATCTATCCACCTTGTAGTAGTTTTATCCAGTCCACATCTCCCCAGTTTTTTTAAATTAAAAGTTCATGCAGGAGCTTGTCAAAAGCCTTGCTGAAGTCCTGATACACTATATCCACAGCATTTCCTTCATCCCCCGCCAAGTAGTTACTTTGTCAAAGAAGGTGATCAGGTTTGTTTGACACGCTTTGTTTTTCATAAATCCATGCTGGCTGCTTGCGATCAGCCTTTCCTTCTCCAGATGCTTGCAAATGTCCTTCCTTAGGATATGCTTCAGTAACTTTGTAAGAATAAATGTGAGGCTAACCAGTCTGTAGTTCCCTGAGTACTCCTTCTTGCCCTTTTTTAAAGAGGTGCACTATGCTGGCCCTTTTCCAGTCCTCTGGTACCTGATCCGTCTCCTACAACTACATGAAGATCCTTGCCCAGGGTTCTGAGATCTCCTCTGCCAGTTCCTTCAGGACCCTGGGATGAAGCTCATCCGACCCTGCTGACTGGAATTCATTCAGATCCAACAAAAGCTCTCTGACCATCCCTTTGTTATCTCCTCCCTTATCTTGTCCCTTTCCTTATCCAGATAGTCCCTATTATGTGTCTGGCAGTTTAATTATTTTGTGAAGACTAAGACTACTTTTTGAGTAGCTCCATCTTCTTTGTATCTTCCGTTAGGAGTTCCCCCTAGTCCTTCTTCTCTGGCCAGCATTCTTATAGAACCGCTTCTTATTGTCCTTGACCTCCTTAGCCAGCTGTTGTAAATGGCAGAGAATGTGCTCCCTTATTTAACTCCCAAAACAAAAGTGAGGGAAGGTTTGGTTTCTAGGGTTCCCCAGGGCAGAGCTCTGGAATACTAGAATGTACTATCACCAGTGTGTGGACCCCTGCAGATGTGCATGCACATATGCCATTGTGTATTAGCAAGCCACAGTTCATCTGCACAAGCCTCCACCAAAAAAGTGTTGTGAGCCCAAGAAATGCAAAAAATCTAGAACTCTTGGTTCAAAAATGACACCTTGTATTAGACCAACTAGGAAATAGCAAAAAAATGTATCTTTTTCTGCTAGCTGTGCCAGCCAGTTAGCACACAAGCAGATTTAATGTATGTAAGACTGTGGTTTAGAGGAAGAAGAGAAAACAAGTAAACTTTCCTTGAAGTAGCCAGAATTGTATTCCTTAGACTTTCTTGATGCTAGGAAGTTTTGCTGCTTAAGCACACCATTACAGATAAGGAGCAACCTCCGTCCCATGCCCTCTCTACCCCACCTCCCCCCATCCATTCACCCAAGAATGGACAGAATTGTACCACTATGAAAAGGCTTGTATCAGTATACATTAATCCTGTATGTGTGGGAAACAACAAAACCTATATTGGTATAAAACAATTTTATATTGATCTAACTGCATCCATACTAGGGTAGTAGTAAAAACTATATTAATTAAACTAATTAATTTAAACTAGTAAAACTATATTGATTAAAATTACTCTCCTCACCAACACAATTAAGGCAGTATGCTTTTTTTAGTGTAAACCAGACCTTAAGTTATAAACGTTTGTTATGAACAGTGATTGAAACTTTACAAATCACTGTAATCCACTGTAGTTCATACCGCTGTGCGCTCTGCTGATTTTAACATGATTTTAGTTTTAGTCAATATTCATGGGGTTTTTTAAGTACCACTCATGTCACACTGTTCTGTGTTTCTTTTTCCTTACAGGTTCAATGGATTAACTGGCTCTCATTCAGAGGGAACCTAACAGATCTATTACGCTTCCATTAAACTTCCCTGCTTTATGTCATAAAGATTTCTTGGGTGAAGAAGTGATGCTGAAAACAATTGAGCAACACAACAATGTGAATCTGACATAAGACTTTAAACACTTGGAGAAATAATTTTCTGCTGTTCAGTTTGTATTTTAAACCCCTAACTGAAGCATGCATAATAGTTAAACTGATAGAAGAAAAAACTTTCTCATAAAAAAAGACTGCCACAACAACAGTAACCCGAATTTTCAAAATGAGTGCACCAGTGGTTCCAAACAAGGCATGCTACACCCAGGAACAGGACAACAGAATTGAGATAAAAAATAACAATGAAAGCATAGTAAGTGTAGGAGATACCAATGCTAATCAGATTGTGACAAAAGTCAGAACCACAGAAGGTGAGGGCAGGAGATGTGGTTTGAGAGGTGAAACTGGAAGTGTGCACACTGATGGGTCAGAGAAGCTGACACAATTGGATGCGGAGCAGAATAAACTTCTTGTCTTTAAAGAATCTCAGATTTGTGACATTAACATACAAGAGCATAGGCAGCCTTCTGCTGTAAGTAAGAAATTAGATAAAGATTGTAAAATGGATGAAGCTAAGGTTACTTCAAGGCATCTCTGTATTAGCCGAGGACAAAGTCTGTCTAATTTGAAGAGCAGTGCAAATGATAGCAACACAGAGGTTCTTTCAAAAGGTGATGCTGAATTTACCCAGCATTTATCTAAGGGCAAAATGGTCAAGGCTGTTGAGGTTGAGGGAATAAAGAGGCTTTCTTTGGGAAGGCCAAGTAAATTTTCTGCTAAAACTGAAACTTTTGCAAAAGAATGTACTGGACGTGTGTCTCACAAACGTTTGCTTTCTGCATCACTGGATTCCATTGATACATCACACCATTTGATTGGTAATACTGAGAAATCACAGAAAACATCAGCAGATCATTTTCTAGGTATGGTTTTTCATCCACTTGACAATACCTCAGAGGAAAATATTGTGTTTTATTCTAAACCGTCTACCTCAGAAAACAAAAAATTAAATAAGCCAGAAATCCAAATGGATGCGGATAACATACCAAATGTGAACAGTGAAAACACACTGCAAGCTTTTGATGCAGCTCTAAATGTAACTGTTAAGCCCTGTGAAATTTCTAGTAAGCCAGAAGCACAATTAAGTTGGGGTGATAAAAGTAGAAAATTGGAGTTTAAAACAGCACCATCTTTACAGTCTAAAAATATTTGCCAGCAGAAAATTGAGAGAATTATGCTGGTAGAATTTCTAGGATGTCAAAAAAAAGAAAGTACATTAATGCAAGAAAAGAAAGGGCTTGGGGATGAAGTGTCCAAGATGCAGGCTTCCCAGTTTCAAGACATTTGTAGAGAGGCAGAGGATCCACACTTAAACCCGGTGATAGCCTACTCCAATGACAGACTTCTAACTGATCATATCACCTGCCGTCATTTAAGAGGAGGAATGACTGCTAATGACAGTAGAGCAACTAATCAAGTCACTGAGGAGTACATAACAAACAAAGAAGTGGAAACTTTCTCTCTTCCTGATGACAGCAAACCCAGTGGCAAAGTCATGTCTGCAAAAAACAAAAGCATACATGAAGCTGACACAAGTTGCATTGGAACAGTTGGTGAGCATGTATCTTTTATACAAAACATTAATCTACCTGACAGCAAAACCTTGAAAATTAATGAAAATAAACTGATGCTAGTCAAAGGAAACATTGACAACACCAGGCTGTCTGCTTCTGATCTCACAGATCAACACCGAGTGCTTAGTACAGAGAGAGTGTCAAATGAGCATCCTAACAACCAGGACAGTGATTTGGAAACTGTGAGCTTTTCGATTCAAAATAAAAAGACCATTATTGCAAAGAAACATCTTTCAGATGAAGCACCAGAGAGCTATAAAATTTCAGCAAAGGCTGATGCCTTTTTATGTGTTCCAGCTCCCTTGCGCCCAGTGGCAACTGTGCATATTAATAATCAGCCCACTATATCAAATGGTAATTTGAAGGATCTTTATGCACTTCATGTTGACAAACTGTCACCCTCCTCAGTCCTACCTCCCATTGATGATTCACAGTTGTTAAATATATCCCCTAAAGTGCCTATCAAGACTGCTTGCAACAGTGGGATCCCCAAACCAATCCTGGTACATTCCAAGGGCTCCTTTACAGACAAGAATGATATAGAGAGTGACTGCATTGAAAAGCCTGAAGAAAATATTGAGATAACCCCTGCCATACCCAAGCCCAAACATGTGAGACCCAAAATTATCACTTACATCAGAAGAAACCCTCAGTCAATTGAGGGTTCGATTGACCCTTCTTTTGCCCCAACCACCCTGTCATATGGTTCTCCGGCCTGCGGTGTGCCTATGCCAAAGGAACAGAAAACATCGACTGGTGGAGATATTAAACCACCTAATATTTTGTATGACAAGTTTAAGCCTGACTTGCAGAAGCCAAGGAACTTTGGGTCAGGACTGGTGGTATCTGGCATTAGGCCCCCAGGGCATCATTTTGGCCCCATGAGTGAAAAGTTTTTACAAGAGGTAAGATGATGACAGCCAGTGGCTGTACAAAAGAGGTTGATAATATTGTTTGTTTATTTATTTATTTGTTCAAGAAACCTTGCAGAGATTACTGAACTCAAAATCATAATCACTAAATCAGGGTGTTTGTACTTGTTCTAAATACATTTTATTAACTACTCCTGGCAATGGTACTGTCATTTTCATGGTAAATTGTTGGTCACTTGGAAGATGTTAATCCTCCACCTGCCCAGTGTCTTTTACTCATCCCCAAAGTATCTTCTATTTGTTGGAAATAGAAGACTGGTCTAGGTGGAACTTTGGCCTGACCCAGGGTAGAAGCTCTTATGTTCTTATGTTGTTCTTAACATCATTGGACTGCTAAGATCTTTTCCATCAGTATACAAGTACTTGGTTGAGCACCACTGATACACAAGGGACTGGGGAAATAAAAAGACACACCTTAATATATATGACTATGGTGCTTAATCTCTGGCCCATGGGCCAAATCTGGTTTACATGGCTGTGTAATCTGGCCCACAGGTCTCCCCATGAGTCTGAAAATTTGGTGGTGGGAGAGCAGCAGCATTAATTACTGCAGCTTCCAGAGTCAGTCCATAACCACATTCAGTGTTGGGCCATGGTGTCAAGTGCATGCCGGATAGGGTCCGCAAACCAACCAACCTCATCTGGTTTATAAGGTCAGAAGTTTGAGCACCACTGATGTTAGGGGAACAGGAGAGCTTGTAGAAGGAACAGCTTTGGAAAATGGTCAGGAATTTTCCCTTAAATAGAAGCATTTTCTCCTTCAAAGAACTAACCAGAATATCCAACAGGAACTGGTAACATGCACTTGGGCTAGAAGACTTAGTTTGGATGAACACAAAAGCAGAGATGTTGATAGCTATTGATGTTCTCAGTTGCTGTAAGATGTTTTATACTGTTTAAGAAAATATTTATGTTTGGTTCATTCTGAAGTGGCTGTATTATGGTTATAGCTGTTCTTGAAGCTATATATATATATATATATATATGTATAACTATTGTGTAATCATATAATTGAACACCATAATAAGACATAAATAATAGGGGCTGACTTAAGGTTAGACCAGCAGCCATCATTCTGGCATTTCCTAATTTTTATGTCCCTAGCTTTGTGACCATAGGGCCTTGCCACAAATTCAAATTACAGCTGGATATAAACCAACTCTAAAGTTGTTACACATTTTCAAGCACTAACTTTGTAGCTGGTTGGCTCCTCAGCTGGATGGATATCTGTATGGTGTGATAATTACTTTGCATGTGTGGCCAGTCTAAAATTATTACAAAATTAACCAGTTCACTGCATAATATATGCAACATGTGATAGGGGCCTTAGTGACCTTCTCTTAATATTGGGTTTTATGTGTAATGTCCTAGTTGCTTTTTTAAGAAAGCAAATAGGAAGAAAAAAAAATCCATCACATGGCAGCATATTGACTCTTGCATGGTTCATCAGTGGGGTTGGAACCGTCAGGTCTAGCTGCAAATATATCTCAGCCACCTAAGCAATAGTAGCAGATAGTCATAGTTTATGTGGATCAGTTACTCTAGAGGGATGTGACACTCTGCCCATCAGTATCATGGCTATTTGGTTCCATCCTGTGTTCTGGAGGTAAGGGTGCTCTAGCCCATGTTCTCTCTGACCACATCCTCTCCAGCCTGTCTCCATCCCCATCCTGCTTCTCTTCCACTTGCGTCGTCTGCACCTAAGCCAAGTGTCCCTCTGTGATCTTGTTATGTGAGGTAACCCTCCTACTAAATTTCAGGGTCCTGTTCCAAAAAAGTATGTATTTTTCCTAAATCTCATTCTCAGTGAGCTAATGTACTTAAATTAGCATTGCCCCTCAATGCCAACCACATTATGCTTGTACCTCTGTCCTGAAGAGCAAATCATAAAAAGTCCATTCACAAATACCAAGTATTTTCACTTTGAAAATGGGCAATTTTCTTTAAAATAAAAAGTATATGCTATATTAGCTGAGAAATAATTATGTAATTATTGATTCCTTCAGTTCAAGGAAACATTTAATATTTATGATCATTTTTATATGTTTGTTTGTTTGTTTGTTGTCCTGCTGTGTTACCTAGAGAGCACAGTCAATAAAAATAAATACTCTGAAACTGTGGGTAGACTAGCCCAGTTTATTAAAAATGCATGTCCTCTGTATTTGAATTATTCTTCTGTTGCTTGTGTTTAAGAATCCATTATTGATGTGTTCTCTGCCAGCTGCAAAGATGATGATGGGAAGTGTATAACAAAATACAATTTGAATATGTTCACTGGGGAGAAGATAACCAAATCTTATTCATGAAAATAATTTCATATCCAAAAAATGCCTTAAAACTAGAACACTGATTAATTTTGAAAAATGAAGATAATTTACTTCAGTAAGTTCTTGCAAGTAGACCAGAAAGAATCAGATGTAAACAATAAAAAGATGGATCTTAAAATATGAAAAATAGGACACACATAAAGTAAAAATAAAAACTGGCATTAAAGAGTTACTTCGGGAAAGCAGGCTTACATTTATAATGAAAAATAAAGAGCAAGAAAAAATGTTCAGTATCTAGAGTGTCTATCTTGCTATCCAAGTTTCAATGTAAAATATGAAAAAGCTTAAAAGATTCTAAACTCATTTCAGTAAATGTTTAAAGCCAATTTTATATCCCTTTCCCTATTAAAGATGTGCCAAATTAGGATTATAGCTGATGAACCTGCCAGGATCAAAGCTCCAATAGCCACTGTTCAAGTGCATTGTCTAAATGGTTATAATCACTAAAAAGATAGTGGCTTGACATACTAAATACACTGTAATTTATAGCAGAGTTAATTAATCAGCAGATGTGCTTCTGCATAGGTAGCCTATGGCACTTTTTTGATTAATGTTTTTAATAAATTCACTGATTTTTTTCAAGCCATCTTTTTCAAGACCTAAATGGGACACTATGGAAAACCTTAGATTCTGTAATAGAATTATGATTTACATTAGAAAGGAAAGTCTGTACTGAAGTTAGACTCAAACCCACAGTGTTAATCAAGAGTACAGAGTCGTAGTGTTGGAAGGGATCTCAAAGGTCATCTGGTCCAATACCTTGCACCAAAACAAGAATGATGTTCCTAAATCACCCCTTTCTAATTTTTATCTAGTTTCCTCTTGAAAACTTCCAATAAAGGAGATTCCACATATTCCCCGGGCAGTCTATTTCAGTGTTCACTGTTCTATGTTATATGTCCTATGTTCACTGTTATATTCACTGTTCTACCAGTAAGCCCACTGACAGACATTCAGTTAAAGACACAACAGGATCTGATCCCCAATACTAACAATAGTGCCTCATGCTATGTCAAACATATATGGCAGGAGGCACAACTGTGGGGTCAGGGATCAGATTCCAATTGTGTCGTATTGCTGGTGCCATATGAAGCCAAGTTCGTGATCCCCACACTCCCCTGGACTAGCAAATCAGGTACCTGATGTGCCCAAGAGAACATAGGAGTGCACTGGAGCCCTTGAAGTTCAATAAGAAGAAGTGCAAAATCCAGCATTTAGGACAAGACAGTCCCATGCACCGATACAGACGGGACTGACTGGCTAAGCAGCAGGTCTGCAGAAAAGGACCTGGGGGTTACAGTGGACAGCAAGCTGAACCTGAGCCAACAGTGTGCCCTTGTTGCAAAGAAAGCTAATGGCATACTGGGCTGTATTAGCAGGAGTGTTCTCAGCAGATTGAGGGAAGTGATTATTTCTCTCTGTTCAACAGTGGTGAGGCCACACCTGGAGTACTGTGTCCAGTTTTGGGCCCCTTACTACAGAAAGGAAGTGGACATATTGGAGAGAGTCCAACAGAGGGCAACAAAAATGATTAGAGGACTGCAGCACTTGACTTCTGAGGAGAGGCTGAGGGAACTGGGTTTAGTTAGTCTGGAGAAGACTGAGTGGGGCATTTGATAGAAGCCTTCAGCTACCTGGAGGGTGGTTCCAAAGAGGATGGAGCTAGACTTTCATAGTGGTGGCAGGTAAGAGACCAAGGAACAGTGGTCTTAAGTTGCAACAAGGGAAATTTAGGTTAGATATTGGGGAAAAAACACTCACTAGGAGGGTAGTAAAACACTGGAACAAGTTACCCAGAGAGGGTGTGCAGTCTCTGTCCTTGGAGGTTTTTAAGACCCAGCTAGACAAAGCCTTGCCTGGGATGATCTAGTTGGGGATGGTCCTGCTTTGAGCAGAGGCTTGGACTAGATAACCTCCTGAGGTCCCTTCCAAACCTAATTTTCCATGATTCAATGATTCTAAGATTCTGGTGCGCTTCTGTAGCTGGGAGCTCTGATCAGCTGACTAGCAGTCCCAGCTATGGGAGCACACCAGAGCCTTGATAAGCTTCGGTGCACTCGCAAGGCTGGGAGCACCAATCAGCTAATCAGCACTGGCCACATGTTCAATTTAAGGCATCATAGGAACCAGACACTAAGTTATTGCATATATTTGTATAATAACTTTGTGGCTTATTCCCTATTTTATTGTGCCATTAATTGCATGAATATATGGCTGATTTACTACTTAAGACATGGTTAATTGGTTCATAGATTTCATAGACATTAGGGCTGGAAAGGACCTCACGAGATCATCGGGTCCAACCCCCTGCCCAAGGGGCAGGAAGTCAGCTGGGGTCATATCACCCCAGCAAGATCAGCACCTACACATTTCTTAAAGGTATCCAGAGTAGGTGCTTGCACTACTTCTGGAGGGGGAGTCTATTCCAGACTCTGGAGTCTCAGGCAGTAAAGAAGTTTTTCTTTATGTCCTGTCTACAATGGTTCCAGCAAGTTGTTACCATTAGATCTTGTCTTCCCTTGGAGTACCATGGTGAACAGACATTCTCCCAGTTCCTGCTGCACACCCCTTATATACTTAAAGGCTGCCACCAAGTCACCCCTGAGCCTTCGGCTCTCCAGGTTGAAGAGTCCCATGCCTCTTAGCCTCTCCTCGGAAGGCTTGGTCTCTTGACCTCTAATCATGAATGACTGGTGCCTCCCGCGACTAGGGGGGCATCATGGCGGCAAGCGGGAGCCACCCACAGCTGCCCCCTTTGGTGTTGTCAGCAGCAAGTGGGACCACTCACAGCCATCACCAGCAGTGTCGGTGGCTGGGGGGGAGGGAGTAGCAAGTAGCAAGCAAGGTGGGGGGAGGGGAGGGCAGGTGCGGGCGCTGACCACCCGCAGAAACCAACAGCGGCTTCACTGGTGGCCAATTTCAGGGGGGCACATGCTACCTCTTGCCCCCCCTATGAGTCACCTATGCCTCTAATAATGAACGTGGCTCTCCTCTGGACTCTCTCAAGCTTCTCCATATCCTTTCTAAAGTGTGGAGCCCAGAACTGGATGCAGTACTCCAGCTGTGGCCTTACCAAAGCCGAGTAAAGTGAGAGTCTGACTTCTTGGGTCTTGCTTGAGATGCATCAGTAGATCCTAGCCAGAGTTTTATTTGCTTGGTTTTTGTAGTGCATTGGTGGCTCATGTTCATCTTGTGATCAATCATGACCCCCAAGTCTCTTTCGGTCATGGTGCTAGTGAGTGCAGCACTGCTAAGCCTGTAAGTATGATGTGGGTTTTTTCTCCCAAGGTGTAGCACCTTTCATTTCTCTGTGTTGAATATCATCAGGTTTTGATCCACCCACCTTGCGATCCTGTCCAGGTCAGCTTGAACTGCCAGCCTATCCTCTAGTGTGACCGCACTTCCCCATAATTTGTGTCATCTGCAAACAACCTGTCCGCTTCTGACACCTGAATCCAAATAATTTATAAATATATTAAAAACTACTGGTCTGAGTACTGAGCCATGGGGGATGCCACTGGACACCATGCACCATGCTGACTTGGTTCCATTGACTATCGCTCTCTGGGTCTGACCACAGAGCCAGTTCCCTGGCCGTTAACTGTAAGGTTGTCGAGGCTGCAGCTCCCCAATTTTCTTAAAGGTGTCCAGAGTAGGTGCTTGCAGGAAGACAGTACTTCCCAGGAAGACATCATAGGAGACCAAGTCAAAGACTTTTTTGAAATCTAAATATATGACATCAACCTCTTCTCCTTTGTCCAGGTGATGTGTCACCTGGTCATAGAAGGAAATGAGCTTGGTCAGGCAAGACCTACCCGCAAGAAGCCAAGTTGGCTATTTCTCAGAATGTTGCCTTCCATTAGCCTTTTGTTGATGGTTTCTTTGATGATTTTTTTCCAAGATCTTTCCAGAGATTAAGGTCAAACTGATTGGCCTGTAGTTTCCTGTGTCTTCCTTCCCTCCTTGAAAATAGGCACCACATTGGCCCTCTTCCAATCTTCAGGAACCTCTCCCGAGCACCACAAGTTCTCAAAAATCCTTGCCATTGGTCGTGCTACTGATGTCAGCCAACTCACTTAGCACTCTTGGGTGCATTCCATCTGGGCCAGCTGACTTGTGGATGTCCAGCCTCTCAAGCTGTTCCCTCACAAGATCTTCGTCAATTATAGGTGAATATCTTCCAGGGACCTAAGAACGGTTTTCCTGAAATCTACTCTAAATCTACATTGCACAATTTAAAGCCATTGCTTTATGTCCTGCCCTCTGCACCAAGGTAGCACAGTTGTTCTCCCACTTTATGATAGCCTTTCAGATATTGAAAGCTGCTATCATGTCCACTATTAATCTCCTTTCCTCCAAACTAAGTATACCCAGTTCTCTCAACCTTTCCATGTAGGACATTGTTTCCAGGCCTTTTAACATTTTTGTCACCCGCTTCTGGATCCTGTCTAACTTCTCCTCATCCTTCTTAACACTTGGGGTCCAGAACTGCACTCAGTACAAACTAGCAAGAAGTGAAAGACCGTTGCTTTATTCTTTTCCCTGCAGTCGTGGAAAGTAGCATGTGGCCTGAGAGGTGGACTTATGTATGTAAAGCTAGCACTTATGTAGACCTTTGCAGATTCAGGTCCTTAATATGGAGAAATTGTGTTTGTGAGGACGTGCCATTTATCACTCGTGTGAATTCAGACAGTAGTTAGTTTATTTGAAAGTGGATCCTGAAAGTTTCATGAATTGAAATGTATCTTTGTCCAGAACTTTTCCCTGCTTTCAGAAATGTTAGTCATTCAGTCAGGGAGTAGAAGCAGTACCTTCTGGCTTAGATTACACATATTTATGATAAACATGGGTGGATTCTGGAGGAGGATGGGTCTTTGCAGCCAAACAACACTTCTGGCCAAGAGCCTGGACTGACAAGCCAGAGAACTCATTGCACGAGAGCAACTGCACCCCAACTCCGTTGGATTTTCCCCAGTAATAAATAACAAAACTAAACTGAACAATTTGGTATCAACCCACATGGTGAAGGTTTCCCACACAAGAAATTTGGCAAATGTTTATGAATAAAAGATACGTTCCTAGAAGTCGAGATCCTTCTGTGAACAAATAAAGGTCAATTTTGTTTGATGTACTCACCGCTATGAGTAATTTGAATATGCTAGTCTCAGAGGACTCATTTTCTGATGAAATGGGATAAAAATTCTCAACTTGACTTTATATTTGTTTCATTTATCATGGTTAAAAATTATGTTCTTCACATTTTTATAATAAAAGCTAACTTCTTTGCCCACAGAATTTTACTGGAGTATTTTTTTCCCTTCAAAAATAGATCCCTCCTTTATCATCCAAGTAGGAATGCTTCATGTAATATTTCTTAACCCATTTGCCTTAAATAACCAAGGAGATTCACCTTTTAACTGTTAATAGTTTCATTCATTTTCATCCCTGGAGGGAGTTTTCAAAAGCAGAAGTCAGCTGTGGATGAGTATTTGGATGGGTTGCAAATGGATTTTATATTTCATGAATTCAGGCAGTCAGACTGTCATGTTTTGAAATCTCCAAATTGATCCTAGACCAGAAGCCAGGGAAAAGAAAACCTATGTAGCACAGCCCTCAGAAACAACTGAGAGTTCCCTGTTTCCTAAACATATGAATACATTGCAGTGATATCTGTTTTAATTATTTCTCCTCAGGTTGGGGAAAGGCCTGTGAAAGAAGAATTTTGTTCTCCACCATATGCTCACTATGAGGTGCCACCAAGTTTTTATCGATCTGCCATGATACTTAAACCACAGTTAGGACTGGGTGCTGTTTCCAGGCTGCCCTCTACGAAAAGTAGGATTCTGATTGCAAGTCAAAGGTCCTCAGGTAGCTGTCTTCATCAGCCAGGAGAAATAACCAATGCTCCCAGCCTTTACCATCCTGATACTTCAGGTAACCTATGAATCTTATGTTTTTTAACTATAATCAGGGCCATTACTTTTTTTCAGACAGGAATATCAGAAAATGAGCAATACCTTGGCATGATACCAAACAGCTCTAACACCACTCTTTGAGATGTGTTTATCTGTTCTGAAGTAAAGCTATGCTGACTAGGGAGCTTGGGACTTATCCAAAGGTTAGTTAATGGAGCCCTTGCCAAGAAGGAAAGATCATTTTCTGTGCCAGTCATTACAGTGCACTTGTTATCTTCCTCCCTGTAAGTGTCTGAAATATCTCCAGTAGCCTGGAGCTAGTTACCATCACGTGTGTAGCAGGGAAGTTAACTGAATGTTTTTCTTCTATCGCAGAATTCCACGCTTTCTGCCTGATTTTGCTCACTTCCCTAAACACTGGGTTCTCCTCTGACACTCCTTGCTTTCTTAAAATGTGCTGGTAGAGAAGTAAAATATATAAAATCCTGATCTCTTGAAGACTGACAGACCACATTAGAGATCAGGGTTTAATCAACTGTTACTTCCCCATGAGCTACTGAACAAAGCCCAGAACCTAGAAGAGTAACAAGAGAGGAAAAACAGTACAAAGAAAGGGAGAGAAAAGTAGTGAACACCACAGGACAGAGAACATAAAGGTCTTCATCATCATCCCTTAAATTTACAATTTATATATTACAGCTTTCATTCTGGAGGATATAGTACAAGTGGGTGCATCTCCACATGCACTTAATTGTGCAGTAGACTACTTTGCTGTGGTGTAAAGCATCACGGTCTATATGTGACACTATTAGACCCCAGCAAACTTAATTTTCACCGCCATAAGATAGTACTGTTGGGGACACTTCTATCTTATGGTGTTAAAAACAAGTGTGCCTAAAACACATGTGTAAAGGCTGACCTGAATGTAAATAGCACCTGGTCAACCCAGACAGCAGGGGCCTAGACCCCTGCCTGCCACCTTGCCAAATGGCTCTGCTTTTTCAGCACTCTTCTGCCCCAGCTAGTTCCTCTACTGCCTGACTACAACTTGGAGCCTCGGGCTGACCCCCCGAGCGTGCTGCCAGCCCAGAGCTGCTCCACTCCAGCTCAAACTGCTGCGGTCTTAGGCGTACATGTAAATGTTACACCTAGGAGCAGCCAACAGTGGTGCAAACTGTGCTAGAGTTTATTAAGCTGATTTAATTGCAGCCAGTGTGTAGGAATCTAAAATGCAGCCAATTCTGGAGTGGAACATGGCAGTTGCTTTAACAATGCACAACACACATTCAAATGAGGGTTTTTTTTCCCTCATTCAACATGGGGAAAACAAAGCCTTATCTTAGAATCAAGTATCAGACAACTCCAGCTGGGAGCTGTAGAGAGTGGCAGTATGGGGAACCTGGCTGAGCTGGGGACAGCATCAGTAGTGCATAGGTTCCTTCTTACAGTGCCTTCTCCCTGCCCAGCTCCCCCACACCATCCATTTCAGTGGTGGGGAGCAGACACTGGAAAGAGGAATCTGCATACTGCTGTTCCTGCTGCTGCTGTCCCTGGTCATATTTTGGATTTGGATACCCATATCTTGGATTTGGGTAAATATGGTAGATATTTAGGACAAGAAGTGAAACTGCAGTTAAGAGCTTTGAAAGAGATAGAGGAGACATTACTTTACAGTTAGGGCTGCCAGGCTCTGGAATGGGCTCCAAGTGAGGTGGTGCTCTCTCCTACCTTGGGGGTCTTCGAAAAGAGGCTGGACAGATATTTGGCTGGGGGGATATGATCCCGGCACCCGTTCCTGCCTGGGGCAGGGGGTCAGACCTGATAATCTGTTTAGGTCCCTTCTGACCCTAAGTACTATGATACTATGAAAGGTTGCTTAAGTAGAATTTGACCAGAATAGGAAGGCTTAATATCCATGGTCATGAGAGGAGGACCATTCAATAGTTAAAACCCACCAAAATTATTAGGATCCTGTTTTTTTATCTCCTCAGAAAGTCAATGTCCCCAGCAGCACTGGGCCATGTGACCTTGGTGCTTTATTTACTCAGCATCTGCAGCTTTTCTCCATGGAAACCATTTGCAAATATTGAGCTAGCCCAGCCCTGCATAAATTTTGAGAAATTACAAGATTGTAACATGGCGTAGTAAAGTTTGATTGATACAGGAATATGGGGTAATCCAGTGAAGGGCATTGAGGCCAGAGACTGTACTGAATGAGAGGAGATTAAGGTACCTGAAGGGAAGGAGGGTGAGACACACACACTATGGTAAAGCAGGGTAGTAAGAGGCAGGAGAATTCTGGGAATGAGCCAGTTAACATGGATACTTAAGTAATTATCAACATTAGCCTCAGTGATTAACCCTTGTAATCCATGCATTTGCCAATTTGTTTGTTCAAGAGCATTGTGCTTTCATTAATAAACTACTGTGGTTTACTATGCTAAACGCCCTGATGAAATTCAAGCAGTTCCTGCCTGTTTCTTTGTGGTAATATCATCCTTAAAAATGCTAACTGATAAGATTTACCCCTTAAGAAATTCTGCTGGCTATTAGTATTCAAGTCATAATTGTCTAATTGCTTTGTGTCAGGGATCTTGCCTGCCAGGGAGGCCAGATATAGTTTCTTGGCTACCCATAGCTTCCTCCCTAAAGAATATTATGTTTGTACCTTCCCTGTCCATTGTTACCTTGCTGCCTTCAAAGGATACTATTAAAAAATAACTCATGTTGGACCACTAATGTCATCTGCCATTTCACTCAGCATCCTGAGGTGTAACCCATCTGGCCTTAGGGTTCTGTCTGTCTTTTATTGATTTTAAATTACATGAGATTTGTTCAGGAGTGATTGCTAATGCCTTTTGTTTTTCATTGTCTTCTCCCACACGTTTCCATTTTTGGCATCTTACTTACAGTTTCCCTGGTGAGCACTAAGATAAAGAACTTCTTTAATTTTTTTCTGCAATACCTGGTTCCTGTGGTGAATTCTTTCCACTGTTCTCTAGCAATTCATTGCCTTCCCTCATTGATCTGTTACTTTTAATATACTAAAAGATTCTTCTGTTGTTTCCCGGCACTACTGCTTGGCTAATATCTCTTTTGCTGTCAATATTTTTTCCTTTGTACCTATGCAGGATTGGTTAGCATTTTTCTTTATCACAGTTATACTCCATATCCTCATACATCTCAAACAAATCAAATTTTCCCTTGACAGTTTCTTGACTTCTTAAGTCAGACTGTTTTTATCTTTTCTTTTAAATGGAAGGTACTTTTCATAAAAGGAAATAGTGACAGCAATCAAAATGGAAGTCCTCTAATCACACAACAAACCTGGCATGGCAGGGACACTGTGTGCTTACCCCAGCTTTCTAGCAATATGTTTCAACCTAGAACAAACTAAGAGTCTGTCTGCCATTCTCATCCAGCACAACCTTTGCTACTATGATTAAACTGCAATTGAAGGTGTCATATTGAAGGTGTCATATTGAAGGCTTCAACAATCAAGGACAATAAAAAATCCTTCTTCAGGTATATAGCGGGCAAAAGGAAAGCTCAGAGCAACATAGGGCCCCTGCAGGACAAATCAGGAAAGTTGGTGGTTGACACGGGGAAAAAAGCAGAGCTCTTCAATGAGCATTTTGCTTCGGTATTTCTAAGTACCGACCAAGCCAATTGCCCCACCTCAATCATTGACAGATGTCCACATGGCACCAGTCTCCCTATGGTTAGTTCTGAAATAGTTAAGGAGCTCCTGGAAGAGCTGGATGGGTCCAAGTCAGCAGGCCCGGATGACCTCCATCCACAGCTGCTGAAAGAATTGGCCAGTGTCATAGCTGAACTGCTGGCACAGCTGTTTGAGCACTCGTGGTGCTCCGGCCAGGTCCCTGAGGACTGGAGAAGGGCCAATGTGGTGCCCATTTTCAAGAAAGGGAGAAGGGATGAGCTGGGTAACTTTAGGTCAGTCAGTCTTACCTCTACTCCTGGGAAAATGCTAGAGAAAATAATCAAAGAACACATTTGTGAAGGCCCAGCAGGGGAAACGATGCTGAGGGAAAACCAGCACAGGTTTGTCACAGGTAGATCCTGCCTGACAAACCTTGTAGCCTTCTATGACCAGGTCACACACTGCCTGGATGCGGGAGCCGAGGCTGATGTCATCTTTCTGGACTTTAGGAAGGCCTTCGACACAGTTTCGCACCCTATCCTCATTGGGAAGCTAGCAGGCTGTGGAGTGGACGCCTACACGGTCAGGTGGGTGGCGGGTTCAGTCCTCGGACTGATATTATTCAATGATGATGATACCAAGCTTTGGGGCAAAGTTATGGGGTACATCGGAGAGCAGGGAGCAGATTCAGGCTGACCTGGACAGGTTGGATCAATGGGCAGAGAGAAATAGGATGCAATTTAATAAAGATAAATGTAAGGTACTCCACCTAGGAAGGAGGAACCCCCAGCACACCTATAGGTTGGGGAGTGTCCTTCTCATAATTGACTCCAAGATGAACATGAGCTGGCAGTGTAACGAGGCCATCAAGAAGGCCAATCGTACTTTGTCATGCATTAGCAGGTGCATGACTAATAGAACAAAGGAGGTGATGCTCCCCCTCTATGCGGCACTGGTCAGGCCGCAGTTGGAGTACTGTGTCCAGTTTTGGGCGCTGCACTTCAAGAGGGACGCGGGGAATCTCGAGAGGGTCCAGAGGAGGGCCACTCGCATGATTAGTGGTCTTCGTGATAGACCCTACAGGGGAAGGTTGAGAGAGCTGAATCTCTTCAGCCTTCACAAGAGATGGCTGAGGGGAGATCTTGTGGCTGCCTATAAATTTACTAGGGAGGTCAACGGGGAATAGGTGACACGCTGTTTACTAGTGCGCCCCAGGGAGTGACTAGGAATAATGGGTGTAAACTAATTGAGAGTGGATTTAGGTTAGATATTAGCAAGAAATTTTTCACAGTAAGGGTGGCCAGGATCTGCAATGGGCTTCCAGGAGAGGTGGTGCTGTCACGTAGCTTGGAGGTCTT